CATCCACCTATGGATCACATATGTGGAACTAGACTCATTGTGACCTCCAGGCTAACACCGACCTCCACCAGTGAGCTATTGAAACATGTTAGAATGTTGTGATCTCCTCAAAAACAGACCTGGACTTGTGTTTTGTTTCATTCACATGTTTGAGTAACCCTTTATTATCCATCTCCACTTTGTGATGTCATGAAGCAGTATTATTCAAGTTAAAAGCTACCGTTTACCATTTTAAGTTTTAATATGCAAGCTTTGTATGAATGAAACAAACAAAACTCCTCTGTTTTAATGTTGTTTCCTCATTCAAAACAGATCAGAAAACAGCCTAATATGGGCCCTTCAAAACATAAATTGCAAATCAGAATACAAGTCTTGTGGCAGTTTAGATATTTTTCTTAAGTCATTCAGCACTAGACCCGAGACTAGTCTTTTTGGGTGAGAGCATAAATAGCTTCTCAGTATAACTGTACTGACATCCATATTAGAAGCTTCATTCCAGTATTGTGCACAGTCCTGTTGTATACTGCTGCTTAGAATAGTTTCCAGTCTGGCTTTTTAAGATGAAACGTTTACAGTTCACATTTTAAATACACCCTGGCCTGGAGCATTATTAGAGACAAAACTGGAATTTGAACTTTTCAACTATTCCAAGAATACCCATGCACTTCAGAACATGTTTGTAGAAGTTTAAACTACAAGGACATCAACTTTTACACAGAATAAGACCCGTGGAGACACAGGGAGGGCATCTGACACACAGGGACTTTTCAGAACATGTTTGCAGATATCTAAACTACAAGGACAGCAGATTTTACACACATTAAGACCCCATGGAGACACAGAGGTTGAATTGCTCACAGAGGAAATGTGATTGCAGAGTTTGGAAACATTAACACTGATGGATTTGATGAGTTGATCTTGCAGAATTAGGGCTTTTAGTAGTCTTCTTTGGTCAAACGATCAGTTCTGTGATAAATGTACTTTTTCAAAACATATTTTTATCCAAATAAAGAAAAAAATATGGCGACTGAATTAGAAAATATTTGACTTTCTATGCTGCTGTCTTTGTTATAAAAGTCTTTTGAATGTGTTTTAGAGTCGTGTGGTGTCCAGATAATGAGTATGATTATCAAAATGAATCATAGTAATATTTTCATAGTTGATTAAAAGTTACAGCCCTATTGCAAATTATTATTAAAGGTCCTGTATTATTGTTTGAGAGAAGCCTAAATGTGCAGGATTTGTGTGTTAAACATGTGTGAATGAAACAGAACAAACTCCAGATCTGTTTTTTATGAAGAAGCAGTATAATTATAAATCAGAAAATGGTGTAATATGGGCCCTTTAAACATGTGTTTGTTCATAATTGATTCTACACCAGTTTTGGGACATCAGTGTTCTCCAAGACCTCAGTATGGGGAGGTTGTGTTGTACTTTTTGACACTTAAACATGCCGTCCATCCTGTTTCCTTAATAGTTGTTGACGGGTGTGAGGAGTTTCAGATTTGAAATTGCTTGACGCTTGTTGCTAGGTTGAACAATGAAAGTGCTGCTGCCTCCATACAACAAGGAAAAGATCCAATTCAGTTCAAAACACACGTTTGAAACCCACAGGAGTGTTAGGATTTGAGACAAGACTGCAGGCTGAACTGATGTGGGCTAATGTGCTAACTAAAGCCCCTTAAAGGTGCATTGTGTAACTTTTTCATTGGGGGTCTGTCAACTCCTTGTTTCTGTGCATCCATCTATCCTTTAAACTAAGTTATGGATGAAGAAGGCTTAAAGATCTCTTTGTGGATCTTTTTCCCACAATTTTTGAAGGAGCCATACACTATTTTCTGATCACACTCTGTTCCACTTTGTGATGTCATGTGATAATACAGGAAGTGCTCCACTGTGCTTTTGAACTGTACACCTTCACTAGTTTCATTTGGATAATTTCAGTCTAAAGGTAAAAGTTAAATTAAGTTGAAAATTACCACTTCTTGACATCACAAGGTGGAACAGAGCATTTTGAGCTAAAGAGTTATTCAAACATGTGTGAATGAAACATAACACACTCCAGGTCTGTTTTTGAGGAGTAACCACGTTTCTAACTTGGCTAAAAGTTCATAAGAGACCGTTTTTGCGCAGTATTGGACATTTTAAGTGCGTCAATCATTTTTACAAACACGGTTTATCTGTGTCAGTGTTGTTGCTGTCACTACAAAATAAACTGGGCCAGAGTTTAAAGTGTTCTCTGTCCAAATATGTGAGCTACAGTTTTTATGCGGAGGAGTCTTTTAGCTAGAGCTGCTCAAACATAAACAACTTTGCAGAGCTTGAATCTCAGGTGTTTTTTCCATGTGCTCGTGCCACCCCTGTTGTTTTCGGCGTAATTCTCTTCTGTTGGTGGAAGTCCAAAGATGGCGGGTCTGTCTGCTCTGGCTCTGGTTCTGTGATGCTCTTGTGATGTCGTAGATCTACTTTAAATAGAACCTAGAGCCTGAGTCACTGATCACTCTAGGGACGATTAATCTGCGTGTATCTGTGCGTTTGCATGTTTACACGTCTCTCAAACTGAATACACTCAACATTAGAGCTGCAACAGTGTGATGTGTGATCATACTGAACCCACTGGCCATTAGGGAAATCTTTTATGAATGAGATACAACAAACTCTTGCATTAAACATAAAGCCCCAACAGTTCATTTGACATCAGTGATTTCAAAATATCAGCATTGCGTGGCGCTGTGCTAAAACTTTGGCCCACTGGTCTGTACTTACTTCATTCTCCACTTTTATTTTATTAATCGATGATGGATGTTGGATTTGACAGCAGCGCCTAGTCATTTTGGTGCAAATGAAAAGAAAAACATCTGCTGCTTGCTAGTGTGACGTGCTGCTATCCACAGGAAAGGGCCGACTCTTTGATGTGATGACGTTTATGGCAATGTCGGCTCCCATTGGACACCACAGTTTTCTAACGTGGAAATCAGCGTACTTGTTTCTTTTACCAAGTCATTTTAGATCAGAGGTCTCCAACCTGTAGCTTGGTAGCTACCGGCAGCTCTCCACCCTTTTACAAGTAGGTCACCAAGGGATTTCTGAATTACATATTGTCCTGAAAAAGTAAAATTTGATTAAATAAATGCCTATTACCATTGCACATGTATCATTTTGATGTCTAACTGTATACTCTAATAAATGAATAATGGTTTATGTTTTATAGGCATCTAACTGTACCTCATTTAAGGCTTTCCACCAAAAATAATAGCTCTCCGGCATTTTTGTTTTATAAAGGTAGCTCACTAGAGAAAAAATGGCTGGCGATGCCTGTTTTAAATGATGCGTTTTAAAATATGCAAATTCTAACAAAGATCCACAGGTGTCGGAGATTATAACTATATCAGACACAAGCACAGCAGGTCTGCTTGGAAATTTTAAAAAAGTGCTTCTTGTCAAAATAAAAACTTCTCAGGCAGGTCTAAATCAAGGCTAATGTTGGACTTGAGGAAGATCATTGCTAACTCTAAATTTATTTGGCATCATTATTTCAGTAGATGGAGATCCTTGGTGTTATTGTCATGTAATGATGAGTGTTGTGTTTCCTATGATTGCATCAGCGACTTTTGTTATACCGATACTTTTGCAATATATTGTGCAGCCCTAACTCAACTCAAACTGCGATTAGGATTGCGATGAACAGGCCTGTCATGATAATTACTACCCCGATTTATGGTTCTATTTCTCTGTAGCAATGTATCGTGGTTCAAAATGTATTATCGTGACTATTATCGTCGCCTAGAGATGTATCCCGCTGCTTGTAGTGGTTCATTCCAGGTGAGGGGCTCATGTGTGCATGATATATGTGTGCATATGTGTGTGTGTTTGTGCGTGTGTGTCTGTGTTGGAGCTCGAGTGTGAACTGCAGTGGTCCATTCTCCTGCTGCTCTGTGTGTGTGTGTGTGTGTGTCTGCGTGTTTGGACTCATAATCATGCTGCAGACTAGAGCTGGTTTCATTCAGATCACTGCTCCACTCTGCTCCGTCTGTCACAGTCTCCACCTCAGATCAGACCGCACGCCTTCGTTTGGGCATTTAAATAGAGAAGGGCCATGTGCCAAAACTGAAAGGCTTTAGGGATGCACCGATACAGGTACTGGTATCAGGTGTCGGCCCGATACTTCCTTAATATACTCATTAATCATTTGTCGATACCACGCTCCAACGCCACGATTACACGACACTGCACAACATCACTGGTCACATTCAGGAGGCCATTTGTTGTTCTGACTTCAATGTCTAGGGGGAGACAAAGAGTCAGAAGACGCGCCTCGTCATATGCGCAAATAATGCTCAATCATTGTCAGCAGTCTGGAAATATTTTGGGAGGACGACAGGAGTGAGAGAACACGGAAAGCACCTCATTTAAATCAAACATGAAGACACAGCACAGTGATAAGTACTGTATGCCGAGTTCACTAAATAACATGAGTTCTGAGCTCAACATTAACCGAAGTTTTCAAGAAGTGAGAAAAAATGTCCAAAGATGGGGCAACAAGAATAACTGATGCACTTACCCACTACACTGCGCTGGATGAGCAGCCACTTTGAGGTGACAACGAGATTGGTTTTCAGCTTCTTACAGATGTTCTAGAGCCCAAATACAAGCTTTTACCTCAAATTCCAAATGATTCTAGTGAATGTGTATGACATTTAAAAACACAGTGGAACTCAGAACTCAGCCTCAATCTGCAGGGTTTGTGTGTTAAACATGAAGAAACAAAACACAACTCCAGGTCTGTTTGTGATGATGAAATTACATTAGGACATAGATGAGAAAACGGTGTAATATGAGCCCTTTAAGTTTGCTGTAAGTTGTCCTGTGAGGTCTGGACATGGTTCACTGGTTTTGCACAGCTTTCACTTCACACATTTGTCATGGATGTTTTGTGTTGTCTTTTGTATATTTGTATTGTCTCTTACATTTGTATCATTAACGCTTGTCTCTGTCCTCAGACTTCAAGAAGATCCCCCGACTGGGGTGAGCGGGGCGCCGTCAGAGAACAACATAATGCTGTGGAACGCAGTTATTTTTGGGTGAGGCACACGTCTTTTCTCCTCTTCCTCCTCCCATCTCTCCCTTCTCTTTCTCTTCTCTCTCTCTTCCTCCCTCTTTCTTCTCCCTCTCCCCTCTCTTCCTCCCTCTGTCTCTCTTCCATCCTCCCTTCTCTCTCCCTCATTGTCTTCCTCCTCTTTTTCTCTTCTTTTCCTCCTCTCTTCCACCTCCCTCCTCTCTGTCTTTTCTATCTCCCCCTTTCGCTGCTTTCTCTCCTCCTCTCTTACGCCTTCTATTCCCTTCTTCTCTTCCCCCCTCTCACACTCCCCTGTCCATCCTCTCTCTATCCACTGCCTCCTCTCTCACTTTTCTCTCCGTCTGCTTTGCCTCCTTCTCAACCCCCCTCCTCTTTCGCTACTCTCCCTCCTCTCCTCTCTTAATCCTTCTCTTCCCTCCTCTCTCCCTCTTTTCTCCCTCCTATCTCGCACCTATCTCCCTTCACTCTTCTTCCTCTCCTCATCCTCTCTTCGTCCTCTACCTCCTCTCCTCCCTCTTTCTCTTCGTCTCTCCTCTGAGATGGCAGTACTGAACATGACTCACTCTTTATCTACTGAGACTAGAATTTACAATTTTTTTTTCTAAATGGAGGATTCAGCATGACCTGAAATTTAATCTAAAAATGGAAATTCCAAATGCAGTTTATTTTGATTTGAAGCAGGAGATTTCAATTTGAAGTCAATTTGACATTTTTATAACAGAGAATAATAATAATAGAGATGTCCCCATGTCCAAATGTCATATTATAGAATTAACCTTACTGTATGATTCAAATATGCAAATTTTGGCATTTCAGAGATTTCAAAATGAGGTAAGCTCTTCTCTGCAGCCTCCTCTCTCTCTCTCTCTCTCTCTCTCTCTCTCTCTCTCTCTCTCTCTCTCTCTCTCCATCCTCCTCTCTCTGCTCCGCTCCGCTCCTCCCTCTCTCTTTAGCTCAGTACAAAGCTTTCGCCATCCATCCTCTGATTGTGACGAATAAGACACACTTTGAATTCAAAGGGCAAAAGAGGTGACAAGGAGTGAGGGAGAGGGAAGGAGGGGGAGAGAGAGGAGAGGACTAGGAAGACATAGACAGACAGACAGAAAGAAAGAAGGAGTGATGGAGAGAGAGAGGAGTAGACAGAGGTATTCAAAGGGCAAAAGAGGTGACAGAGAGGGAGAGAGGGAGAAGTGAAGGAGAGAAGTAAAGAGGGGGAGCGACTGGTGTGGTGGAGAGAGAAATGGGGGGTGGTAAGGGGAGAGGCAGGACGGATGAGGGAGAGAGGAGGTGGAAGAGAGACTGACAGAAAGGAGCAAAGGAGATAGAAAGAGGCAGACTCTTAAAGTTAAGGGGATGAGGGAAAAGAGGGGGTGAGGAAGGAGTGGGGTAGAGGGGTAGCTGGAGGAGGGAGACGGAGGAGAGAAGGGGAGAGGGGGTGAAAAGGGAGAGGGAGTGGCTCTAGAGCATAATGTTGTTGTGTCCTTAGGCAAGACACCTCGTCCACATTGCATGAATGTGCAGCGTGTATAAAAGTACTATCTGAGTACTTAGTACTCAGTACTATGCTTTGTTGCTGCTTGTTTTAATTCTAAATCCATGTGTGTGTTTCAGACCTGTGGGGACACCATTTGAAGATGGTACGTTGTTTTCCACTTTTGCTTATTTCTCTGCCCTGTAAAAATATTTGTGGTCTAAAAGCTGCAGCATTTGACCATCACATTTACGATTCATGTTTAGGAAAAAGGATTCTATTCTTAGACCAGACTGTAAACAAGTCCAGGAGTGTTCACATTTGAGAGAAGACACAATCTGAAGAATTCAAACATGTTCAGAAATGCATGAGAGAGTCCTCAACTACAGGGTTAGCAACTTTTACACAGAATAAAACACACAGGGAGGGCATCTGACACATTTCATTCTTGTAGAGATCTAAACAGCTTCAGCAAGAATTTTCAATTAAAAAGGCAGGATGTTTTGTTTTTCTATCAAGTATGTATGTGAGCAGGCTGTGTCTTGCTCCAGTACAGATGGATTGTATGAGCAGCTCTTGAGGTCAAAAGAAGTCTGCTGTGTGCTGTCTGTATCTAATTTTATAAAGCATCTGAGAACCAAGAAGAGCTCCGCTCTGGTCTCTGAAAGTGGTGAAAAGCACTTCTAAACTCATCGTGGTGAATCATTCAGATGCTCTGAATGCATCAGGAAAATGATGAGGAACTTTGAACCACTGCAAACTGTTTGAAATGAACTAGTTGCGTTTGTGTTCAGGTTCAGGTCATGACGGTGATAAACAGTGTTATATGGTGGAGAGAGTTTGCTCTGGTGTGAGGAAGTGTTGTTACATAAAAGAAAAACCTGTTTAAATGTGCCAGACTGTAAGTAAAACAGTGTAGTCATCAGTCTGCAGCTGCAGTGTGAAAGAGCTCTGTGCTTCACACTGTGTTTCACACTGTGTTTCACACTGTGCTTCACACTGTGCTTCACACTGTGCTTCACACTGTGCTTCACACTGTGCTTCACACACTACAATGGGATGATGTCATACTCACAGATCAGGGTTAGAGATGTTTTTAAGGTTGGGCTGTTATGTTCATGAAACATGCAATTCCTGTTTCAAAATAATCCTCCATTTCACGATTTTAAAACTTCCCAAAATGTTGATTATTAAAAACATGTTTACTCCTGTCTGTCTTACTTACAAAGCAGGATTATTGTGCAAATAACAATTGGCATTGAAAAAAAAAGAGATAATATCTAAACAAATGCAATGCGAGGCCAGTTATAATTTCTTGAGGGAAAAGCTAAAGAGCTTCCCCTGTTTGAAAGACCCAGCCCCAGTTTTCCTCCTGATTACTCTGTACTTTGCCATGAAATGAAAACAGAAATGTTGATGCTAACGCACTCTTCCTGATGATCAGAGAATGAAACGCTTTATATTAGATGCAGACAGTACACAGCAGACTTATTTTGACCTCAAGAGGCCCTTTAAGTTTTGATGGAGTTTCAAACTCTGTGTAATTCAGGTTCAGTGTTTCCCATTAATGATGAAAATGAAATAAAAGGATTCCTGCATGGATGACGTCGTGTCAGTATAAACCAGCGGGAAACACTGCAGATAAACAATAACATGACACACAAAAGTCCTTGCTCACCGGTTTTATTTTTAGACTTTATTTCTGCAGTGTCTCAGGCAATGGCTATTTTTAACTCCACTTATGTTTTCTGTCCAACCTCTCTTTTCCTCTCTCCCGGCATCTCTCTCTTCTGTGTTTTTCTCTTTCTTCCCCCTCCCTCTGTGTCTCTATTTCCCTCTGTCTCTTCTCTCTCCTTCCTCTCTCCTCTTGTCTGCAGGAACATTTAAGTTGCTGATAGAGTTTTCGGAGGAGTATCCAAACAAACCCCCCACGGTGCGGTTTGTGTCCCGAATGTTTCACCCAAATGGTAAGATCTGGGACTAAGGTTTCCATTCCAAATTATACGTGTACAATATGCTCTGTACACGACCACTTCGTGCTGTAACCTTGAGTGGAAACAACACTGTACAAGTAGAATCAAATCTCTCTCTATTTTTTAATATTTATGTACTTTGGATTTTGAGCACTTCTTTTCTTTTGCTGTTCTTGAACTGTCTGTTTCAACATTTCCCCACTGTGGGACAAATGCAGGTTTTCTTATCTCTGTCATATCCCAAAATGATGTTGCTTGAGGCCATCCTAATCAATAGTGGAACGTAATTAAGTAAAAGTAAAGTACTGTACATATTTTTGCTATCTTTCTTTATTTGTATTTTCCTTGGATACTTATTATTGCTACATTTGAGAGAAAGCATCTGTACTTTCTGCTCCACTACATTTTTGAACAGGGCTGAAAGGTCAAAGTATTTGAGTTATTGTGTGACACCTACTAAAATGACTGAGTTTAATTTGCGCAAAAAATAAATAAATAAAAATAGTTCGGAAAAGACTACATTTAATTGTTTCCGTTGAACAAAATTCAGCACAAATCTTTATTCAAATCAATAAATTTGAATTTTGTAAATCTGTGTATAATGTTTTTACTTTTTACTCAAGTACATTTTTAAATGGGTACTTTATTGCTCCAGTATCTGTACTTTTACTTAATTCACAAAATTGAGTACTTCTTCCGCCACTGATCCTAATGAAGTATATTTACATGACTTTGCCTTGACTATTCTGGATTATTAGGAGAAGATCTCAGTTGTAGGTGTATTCTCTACAATAAACTAAATGGATCAAAATGAAGTAATCTGAGTAATACATGATTAAATCCGGTGTTACTTCCTTGTGTGTGTAACTGTGTGTTGTATAGCCTGTTACATTGCTGTTGTGTTGTGTGTTCAGTTTACGCAGATGGCAGTATATGTTTAGACATCCTTCAGAATCGTTGGAGTCCCACGTACGACGTCTCCTCCATCCTCACCTCCATCCAGGTACACTCCTATGAGCTGTGTTTGTCTTTTATTACACAGGACCATGCTCCGCTGTCTGGAACCACAGCTGGAACCACATCTGGAACCAAACTCCTCTGTAGAATTTTGCTTTCACTGATGTAGGTCCATTGTTAAAGCTCCTATATTACATAAAGTCGACTCTTGTGAGCTTTAAGCCATGTTAAAATGTTGTTTCCTCCTTCAGACTTGGAGTTGTTTTGTTTCATTCACACATGTTTGAGTAACTTTATTATTCTGTCTACATCTCCAAAGCTCAAAATGCTCTGTTCTACATTGTGATGTCATGATTACTACCTTTTACCTTTAGTTCACTAGATTTGAGATCTGAAATTATTCAAATTATTTTAATGAAGGTGTATGGAGTTTAAAAACACAATGGAGCACTTCTTGTATTACCAAATGACATCACAAGGTGGAACAGAGCATTTTGAGCTTTGGAGATGTAGACATACTAATAATAAAAAGTTACTCAAACATGTGTGAATGAAACAAAACACAACTCTGGGTCACAATGGTCATTTTTGTGTAATATATGATGTTTTAAAATCTAAATAACCTTTTAAAATGAACTAGTTCTGTTTTTCTTGTTTTTAAACTGTTTGCAGTGGTCATAAGTTACTCCTCACTTGCACCTATGCCTGTAGCATGTGTAGTCATATACACGTGTGACAATATTTTTACAGACCTTTCCCCTCTCTACTCAGTCTCTTCTGGACGAGCCGAACCCCAACAGCCCGGCCAACAGCCAGGCGGCGCAGCTCTACCAGGAGAACAAGCGCGAGTATGAGAAGAGGGTGACCGCCATCGTGGAGCAGAGCTGGGTGGACGTGTAGACACAAACTCCAGCCTCTTCCACTTCCTCCTCCTCCCATCGCTCATGTTTACCTCGACAAACACACAAACAATTATCACCCCCCTGCCACCACACGTATGAGACCACACTGCAGAAGGAAGAGCTCCACGAGGCACAAATGCAATCTTGATTTGAAGAGTTTTTACCATTTTGGGTTTATTTACTTTTTTGGACATTTTTATACATTTCAGCTACTGGGTTCAGTTAATTCTTAAAGTGAAAGTTCCGCTGCGTAACTTTTGTGGTGGGGGGTTGTCTCCCTGGAGATGTTATTGTTGTTATTGATTCTATAATGTGATGATGTCATACTCATGACAGAGGGCAAGAGCCAGTTTCCCCAATGACGCTTTCAGATGACACCACAACATTCGACAGGCCACATTTATGTTGTAATACACGGAGTTCATGGGTTTAGTCCATGGATCAGACCTGGACATTGTCCAGCTCAAGGGCCACATACAGACCGACCCATTTAAGCTCATTTAGAATTACAAAATAAACATATTTTATCATTTTACCTCATGCATGGACTAATGCTGCATTGAGATTTTAGAGTTGTTTTTAATTACATTTTTTTTTTTTTTTTTGTAAGGCAACCTCACTTTTTCTTCCCAGTCTGAGCGGCTCGTCAGAACAATGCTTTTTATAAAGAAATACAATTGATATTTCACAGAATTAGTTAAGCATTTTGGCACTCCACAATATTTTTTGTTTCTCATGTGGCCCCATGGAAAAAAAGAATTGCCCACCTCTGCCATAGACTTGATAAAGAAGTGGACTAAGGGAGAGTGACGTCACCCACAGTGTTCGGCTCTAGTCAAATAGCAAAATAAAAACACTAGGATCATGTAGAGCAGGTTAATACAAACATTTGAAGATCATGTTTGGATTGACCACGATTCATGAGAACCAAACTGTAAGTGATCGGGTTCTTCAGAAAGTTCAGTCTGTCGCTCACTCGGAGCCTTACAGACGGTGACCAGTAGGAGGTGTGTCTGTGTAGAGCTGCTTTGAAACAGAATCAAGACACGATTTCACTTAAACAGTAGAGTGTTTCTGGAAAGAGCTCACCATTCAAGTTTCATCCCTGTATTGCCCAGCCCCAGTTTGATCAATAATATTCATTTTAGCTGCTCCCATTTGTATCCAAAAAAACTGACTGGCTGTAGAAAGTAGTGATGTCATCTGAAACACAACTGCTTTGTCTGAAATGTTCCACCGTATGGCATTCCTCATCTATCCAACTCATCTATGTTCGTGAAGAAAAGCAGGTGATGCCGCCGGGCCAAGTCACGGGTCAGGTCTGCGCAGAGGCGACCGCCCACACACTGTAATAATGCTTTTTTTCAGATATTTTTGATGTGTAATGAAACGAGCACTTAGATGGATATGTTTAATGTCATACTCTGGGACATTTTAGGCAAAGTAATAACAGCTCCATGGAGATGAAAAAATGACTTGTCGCCAGGAATGTTCCGCAGTGCATCTTTTTAAAGCTAAATGATCTTGTTTGTCTTGTAAGATTTTATTGAGTTATTTAGTTGGCTAATCATGTGGAATTTGTATACTGAGTGGAAAATATATTAAAAAAAATGTATTTAAACCAAACAAACTATGATTCTAAATGAGGTTGCCATAAGTATCGAAAATCTGCTACTAATCAATACTAAAACTAATACTGAAACAAGATCCAGTACTCATTTGAGCAGGACAGAGCAGAACCTTTCCTGACGCTTTAGAATGATGTTGAGCTGGATCAGAAGTAGAAAATCACATAGACTAGTATACACACATGGACCACTGTGGTTTACACACAGATAAGACACATGGGAATAGAAAAGAAAAGTACTTCCATTTCAGAATGGGTATTGAGTCTATCCCTTTGCTTTGAAATTGAGTTTGAAATGTTAACTCTAAATCTACACTCTTCAAAACTACTCAAATCAAGATTACAGTGTTGAATTCAAGTCATATTCACATATGTAGGTCTTTTTCCTTTTACAGTGCAAATGTAAGTGCCACTGAACGCACCATGAGTCCAGACCTGCATAGAGGGAGAGGAGGAGCCCAAACATTATGTGGATGGTCTTTGTCCGTTGGATCACTTTTTTATTGCATGATGTGAATAAGTTATTGCTAACAGAATTTGTAATATATCTTTTAAGTTGTTTGGTTGGACTGAGTTTTACAAATTATAGTTTCATGTTTTGTTTTGGCTTTTCTTTTTCTTTTTATGGTGTGGAAGCTCCTGGGGCTGTTTGAAATGCAAAATAGGTCCATAAAAGACTAGGAATTTGCTCCTGTCTCTTTTGAGCTATCATTATATAACAAAGACAAATGCTGAATGAAAAAGTTTGCATAGCCTTAAAAAGTCTAAACCAGGACTAAACCAGAACCAAAATGGGTCTAAACTAGGACGAAATGTAGACGAACCCAGGATTTAAAGCAAGTATGACTGCTTAACTGGACTACTCATTTACTAAAACGGTTAAGATCATTACAATTAAGATATTCCTAAATAGTCTTAAAAATGTACTTTGTAATATGAAATCATGATGACATGCTAGTAAAATTCACGTAAACTTCTATATATTGTCTACAGAAGTCACGAAATGTGGTTTATGTTGGAGCTAAACCTTAACCAAAAATAATCTGAACTAGAACTAAACCAAGACGACCAAACTGTCAATGTACAGGACTACACCAGGATTACATCAGGACCAAGCCAAATATACCATCTACCAAACTGGTCTCCAAAACACGACCAGACAAGAACAAAACCTTAAATGGTTTTACATTTGAATTAAACCGGGACTAAACCAATGTCGTATAAACTAGGCCTAAACCAGGTCTAAATGAGTTAAGGTGGGTATAACCTAGGACTAGGTGAGATAAAAGTGTAAAATGGGTCTAAACTTTGAGATAAAACTGTGTCTTGTAGGAATAAGATGGGTCTAAAGGAATTAACCAGGTCTGAAACTGGACTAAATAAAGACCCAAAGAGGTCTAAACTGGACCTAAACCATAAGTGAAGTAGGAATAAGGCAGGTCTATACTAGGACTAAACCAGGACTTAATCTGAGAATATAATTATTGATGTGCAAATGACTATACATTAATAAATACATCACATCAGAGAAACATCGACTAAATGGAATACAAACTTGGGCTAAACCAGTCTGGAACTGGACTAGACAAAGAAAAAAAAGGTTTTAACTAGGACTAAACCTGATCTGAACAAAATAGGAACAGGGCAGTGAGACTGAACCAGGACTATACCAAGACCAAGCTCCTTGACTAAATGTACTTAAACAGTGCATACAAGAAACAGGAAAACTTGGAAAACTAAACTGGGTTTGAACCAGGTCCAAACCAGGTCTAAACCAGAACTTAACTAAGACTATTGATCAAGTACAAGCTAGACCATTGTGGGTCTAAATTTAACTAAACCAAAACCGAAAGTGTCTACATTTTGTCTTAAGTAGGATTAGGGCAGGTCTAAACTAGAAATAAACCAAGTCTGAACCACACTTTATCACTGACAATAAACTGGATTAGATTGGGTCTAAATTGAACTAAATCAGAATCAAAAAGCTCTTAGTTTAGGGCTGGTTTAGTTTGGACTCCAAGCTGTGCTCAGAGTACAACACACACCCATTCTTTTCTGCGTCCTCCTCTGAATGCTGCTATGTTCTGTAGTCATTTGTTGGTTTATTTTTGGACACTGTAGGTTTAGTTTCTGGCGTCACAAACTGAAAAAGTGCCAAGTTTCTACTGTGATGATTCATGAACGCACCACGCTGTGCTCTAATGATCTCGAATTGAAAATGCAAGAAGGCTGTGGACAATATACCCGCCAACACTGCCCGTGCCTGCCTACAGCGCCAGAGCTGGAGTCTGAATGGACCCACAAGTCACATATCGTTTAACATAGGAAAACAAGTTTAAAAAGTCATTGTTTTGTCTTTTTTGAGGCATAATATTAGAACAACGCCACAAACTGAAGTATTCTACACATAAAAATTATTGGGTCATCATTATTTTTATTAATTTGTATTTATAGGTTGATTTTTTTTTTTTTTTTTTCAATTTTAATTCAAGTGACTGTTAGCTTTGAGACAGTGAGCCGAAATCAGAAACAGCGATTTATCAAATACTGAAAATGGTTAATACTCTTAGCAGCACATAGTGTGCTTCTCTAACAGCCCCAGTTGCCTTCACGCACGTTTCTGTCTTTTATTTTGAAAAGCTACACAGATTAAGCTACTAAAACTCGGACATATTAATCATGTCTTTATTGTGCTCTTTTTACAAAGGAATTCTCTTCATAAAACCATCAGATATTATCCAAAACGACTCATATTTCCAGAGACATGTCGTGGTTCGTGACACTTCACCAGACCCAATAAGCAGAAGGGATATGTTATAAACTTTTGTGAATTAAATGATGTATACTTATAACAATATGCTGTATAAAACATAATAAACACATTTTTCAGACTTTGAACTTTGTCAAAGCGTCCTCACTTATGACATCACCACAGATAAATGCACATCTCTAGAGATAATGCTTGTTGTAAAGGGATGGGATAATAATAACTATATAAATGCTAAAGAATAATAAATCACAGTATATATTTATCTCATGGATGTTTATTGCAATATTTTAGAGAGACTACCAGAATTGTACATAGGCTACTTTTTGCTTTTAAAATATCTTCGCAAGATGTTGGTGCAAATCATTACTGTCACAATCTCCATAAATCAGGGCTCTCCAACCTTTTTCTTGTGATGAAATACCTTTACAAAAAGAAAATTCCAGCTACTAAGCTACTAATTTTAGCGATCACAAGAACCCGAGCATAGGAAAACCTTAGATGGGGAACGGTAAGATTCCTATAAAACATCTTTTTAGTGCACAAAGTTAGGCATCAAAGTGATACATTTACAAAAATAGTTCATCAACTATCAACTTTGAGTCATTCAACACAATATGGATAATTCAGAAATCCTTTGACGAGCTATTTGGAACGGGGGAGGGGGAGCTACTGGTAGTTTACAAGCTACAGGAGCAATATAATGTTTCCACATCACAAATATACCTTGAGTTTGTGTTTTGTTCTATTCCATTAATTTGTTCCATGTTTAACACACAAACCCCAAAACAAAAGGGAAAGGTATACATTTTACTTAAAAACTACTGCTTCCTGACATCACAAGGTGGAACAGAGCATTTTGAGCTTGAAGATGTAAGACAGACTAATACGAAAGATCAAACGTGTGAATGAAACAAATCCCAACTCCAGGTGTGTTTTTTGTTTTTAGTACAACAGATGTAACAACAGCCAAATCTCACATGCAATATCATCACAGTATGAATCTCATTAATACAATGTTTACTGCAATATTCTGGAGAGCTATACAGCTACTTTTGCTTTTAAAATACATTATTATTATCACAGTAATGATTCGCACCAAAGAATTAACATATAAAAGATATTTGTCCATGTTGTCTGCACGAAAATGGATCATGTTCTAAATAGATCCTTATGTTTAACCCTCTCCAGGCAGGTGTTGCAGATTTGCAACAGCTAAATGCCAATTATCTATTTACTCCACATCCATATTATATGAGCCTTTTTTACTCAGGAGCCTTTTTTCCTCATCCATGCTGATAAATGTGGACGATGCAGACTGTGCAAGGATGGCTACATTCAAACGGCCTGCCAGAAGTGCAAAGTACTTTTGTGCTTTACAAAGGATAAAAATTGTTTCTTGTGGAGCACCACACGAAAATGTGTTGTTTTGCCACTGTAAAGCTGTTACACTGTGCTTTATGTTTTCATTGTTATGACAAGTGGTTTACACATAAAGTTAGCGTTCATATCATTTTCAGTCTTCAGTGTTAATTTCCCACACCGGACCAATGCTGCAAATCTGCAACATCCCAGAACACACTGAATGTGAAGATCTCTCTCAAAAAAAGAGTCAGGATTGTATATTAATACCCCATATGATCATTTTCCTCAAATATCAGATTTTTCCTGTTACTAAAATTAAATTTGAGCCTGCGAGGGTTAATAGCTGTTACTACTACAATAAAACAATGCATTTAAGTAAAGGATCTGTAATTTAATATACTGTGATGGTCCATGATATCACTGAGACTTTTGACAATATGATACTGCGATATTTCAGTTATTGCTACATCCCTATTGTAAACACTAAATGGACAGAAAGGAATCAGTTAAAAATATAAAAACACATTTAAAAAGACAACATTTGACAAAAGTTTAAAAGGAAAAAGCAATACGACGTGTGCCTTTGAATCTGGAGACATCTGGACCATGGTGTAAAATCAAGTTCATTTTATAAAACAGTCCTTAAAAAAATGGGTCGGTCCCATTTCCTGGTCATCATCGCCTCATCACCGTCCCTGGAACAGAAGGAAGAGAATATAGAATTTCTGATTATTTTAAAGTTTTACATTTCAGTCCATGTTTGTGCAGGTCTAAACTACAGTTAGAATTGTTCTGATTTATTGGGGAGTTTTACACCATACTGTGAAATATTACAGCCAAAAGAAAAGCATTTCCATGGAAACAACCAGGAGCAAGTCCTCCTCCAAAATAAGAGTCAGCTTTGTGGAGATGCATGTTTGTCAGTGCTTCAGGGCTTTAAAGGTCCTAGATTACACAAAATTGACTCTTGTGAGCTTTAAGACATATTAGAATGTTGTTATCTCATCAAAAACAGACCTGGAGTTGTATTTTTGTTTCATTCACACATGTTTGATTAATCTTTTATGACTAGTCTGTCTACATGTCAAAATGCTCTGTTCCACCCGTACACTGTATAAAGAAGTGGACTAAGGGAGTGTGACGTCACCCACAGCAGTTGGCTCCAGTCAAATGAAGCTTACAGAGGCGAGAAGTTACAGGGGCAAATTTGGAGCCAGGCTTTATATTAGGATTAGGAATTTATTGACAGACATATTTGCAAAATAATAAACTCAGAGTCATGTAGAGCGTGTAAATATGAATATGTCAAGACCAAACTGATGTTACAGAGACAGGGGCGACAATTTCTTAACAGGATTCCCACTCTTTTTCACTGACAAAATTTCAAAAATTTTCCATGATTTTTCATGACCTGAAGTGAATTGTCCATGACTTTACTGTGCCTACATGTGTAGAATTGCTCAGACTTTTATGAAATGTTAACCCTTTTTCAGATTTTTTTTTTTACATAGAGATGCAATTCCAGGTCTGAAATCACCCAAATGATTCTAGTGAAGGTGTATGGAGTTAAAAAACACAGTGGGGCACTTCCTGTATTACCACATTACATCACAAAGTGGAACAGAGTGTTTTCTGTTTGAGGAAAGAATATAGTCTAAATATGCAGAGTCTGTGTGTTAAACATGTGTGACACAACTGGAGGTCTGTTTGTGATGAGGAAACTAGAGTATAACAGATGAGAATATAGTGTGATATGAGCCCTTTAAATACAACATTAAAAATCTGTCACATGTATTACTTTGCCAAGTGTTCAGCTGGTTTATTTGGCATAAATAGTCTAGTGTATAATTCATATTTATAGTGAAAGGAGTGGTACCTGCTGGCTCTTCATGATCTCGTCTCTGGTTTTAAAAACAGGAGCGTCCTCCACCTCGATCCCTTCAGCCATTTCCTTTACTCGCTCCAGAAGCTCCTCGCTGTATCTGCAAACACAAACACCACACTTTAGCTTGAGTTTCATGTGAAGATGCAATGCCATGTTTTTTTTGTACATGATTCATAAAATGAACAGTTCAACCGCCTCTTCTTGGTCCAAACACAGTCTCTTAAGTCTTTCTTTGCCAGGGTGGTGGTTGTGAAGATTTGGCCTCATGTTTTTGTCTGTATATACAGATTAGAATTCTTAAGCAGTAAACACCATTACTCTTGTTTCTTTAAAGGTGCATTGTGTAATTTTTCTGATGAAGGGTTCGTCAAATGTTTTTCTCCATGGAGAGGTTATTGCTTTGCCTGGAATGTTTCCCAGTGTGGAATTAAACATATCCGTCTTGCATGTCATACGCTGTTTTATTGCTCAAAATGACCTTGAAAAACATGCATTTGAACTCCTCTCTCCACAGATCCGACCTGTGACGTGGCTTGTCATATCTTTGCCTGCTTGTTGTCACCATGGAGATATATGCACTGGAGCAAAAGTTACACAGTGCAGCTTTTAACTGCAAATCAAAACATAATGAGTGTATAAATAATAAATAAAGCATTTTTACAGCTAAATGTGTTTCTTATGTTTAGATTAGCCTATAATACTCGTGCACTTAACCCACAGGCTGAGAAAAACAGAACAACAGTTCTGTGGAGTAATGACGTCACTGTCCTGACTGTACACAGCCAAATACTGTACATACTCTTCTACTCCATGTTCTTATGACTAAACTGAGCTGCACAGAACAGAACCCAAAGAAACAGCTTATACAAAGAAAACGTTGTTGGTGACTTTTAATGTTCACAGTGCCACACTTCACATCATGAAAAAACAAGTGTTTATTTTTTTTATAATTCAATATTTAATGTTGAAACATTTTATATTTTGAAAGTCTGAGCCTGTATATCATTCTGAAACACGTGGATGGCTAGTTTCTTTGTTGACATTTTGATTTTCACTACACATAATGCAGTTGTACTGGCTTCCACTGAAAGTTTGAGAGGACATGTTAAATGGCTCTGACTGAGAGGTCAGCAACTCCACTTCATAAAGTGATCTTAAATGATCCCCACCTCCCACTGTGAGGAATCAGAGACAATCCTCTGGCAGCAGCAGACTTTTTCACTTCTTATTCTTCCAGTGTTTCTTTTTTTTTCTTAAAAAGAAGGTTTTGAAAGCAAAAAGTAGAGTGGACCAAAGGGTTGCGGGTTTGAGTCCAGGGCCAGTCAGCCAGATAAAGTCTTCATGTTCTCCTCATGGACTGTCTAATATTATGTAGCCTGTGTGTGCCTACTGTGGTACATGCCACAATCAGACCTCCAGCAACTGGTGGGTTTCAGATTGTCCAGTGATGATGTCAGACTCTCAGATGGGGTCAGAAACAGATTTTCCTGTTGATTATGATGTACTTTATTAAAAAGTAAATGCACAAATGTTTAATCTGTTCATTTCCACGAGTGATTTGACTCAAGAACTCAACTGTACTATAAGAAATATCTGTATTCTTTCTAACAATAATAATTTTAGCTGTATTAAATGGTTTATTCCAGTTAGAGCTGAAAGTTTGAAATTGAATTGAAATGGCAGTTTGAACAGACGCAGCAAATCGCAGAGACTGCCCTGAAAAAGACAAACCCTGAAATTTGGATCTGTACAAATATGTCCTAAAATGAAATTTTTGTGTTAAATTTGTCAGTTCCGGTTTCAGTCTTTTTGTCAATTCGTCTGAAAAAGTTGAAAATCACAAATGTAATCGCAATATCTGTCCGCTAAATCCCTCAAATCGTTCAGCCCGTTCAAATGTTACACTTGTATAAGGCAAAGTTCTACTGTTAAACTTGACAGAGGGAAAGTTTTACAGTTAAACTTATCTGAGGAAAAGTTTTATAGTGAAACTTGTGTGAGGAAAGTAGAAGTGACCTGCAGCCCATGAACACGTTGTTGGCCCAGACCATGGACAGCGAGAGGAGCTGATCCTGCTGATCCGGGCTGAAGTCGCTCTTGTTCCGCAGAATAAACTCTCTTCGGGCGGCCCAGTGCTTGTCGCTCTCCCAGTAGCCACGGAACGCCTCCACCTGCTCCGCCACGGCCCGGTTCTGCTGGATGAAGTCCTGTACGTCTAGAGCAGACATGTTTCTCCGCAGCCAGAGAGCAAAACAAAGGGACTTCCGGCCTGGAGCGGAAGTGGAGAGAGCAGAGGTTTAGGGTTTTAGTATAGCGCGATGCAGCGGCGGAAAGGTGAACTACAAGTCTGGGCACAAATCTTAAATGTATGCACCTTTTTTACTTCTTTATTTATAATTATTTAGACTGTAGATTCTCACTGAAGACTTCGAACACTGCTCTGCACTTTGAAGGGTTTGCAGCATTGTTGATAAAGCAAAGAGTGGATACTTTGAGGATATGAATCTAAAATATAATCAAAATATTTAATTGAGCTTTTTCTCTTGTTTGTGTTTGCTACATAATTCCATGATGTATGTATAATACACTCCCTCAGTCATCCAAGTAGAATCCATAGCAAAAGGAGAAATTCAGTTTGTCAACTGGACAAAAGTTTATTTTGGTCGAACACATTTCTCAGCTCATCTAAGCTGCTTCTTCAGTTGTGGTCAGACGCTGGTGGACACTTCCTTATATCTGTTTGCAGGGAGGAGCTAACTACACTGAAACTACTCTGAAACTAACACACCTACTTGTTAACAGTTTCTGTTAGTTAGCTAGGCCTGTTGAGCTTGCACTGTGCACTGTGAGTGTGGGGTCATATTAGCAGAATCATTCAAGGCCAGAATGGAGCTTTCACACTTCTGTGCCAGCTTTGGCTAATCCTATTGTTCTCTTGGTTTGTTTTGACTAAGGTTTGAGGATGGAGTTGTAAATAGGAGACAGATGGTGTCTGAGTGAGGACATTTCTGTTCAAGGATTGTCTGTCTTAACAAAAGAAGCCTCTTTAACTCCCCTCTCAAACCAATTCTTCTCTCTGGCTAAGATCTGTACCTCTCTATTCTCAAAGGAGTGACCTGTGGCTTTAAGGTGGAGATGTACAGCAGACTGAGGTTCTTTTAGGTGGAAGTGTACAGCAGACTGAGGTTCTTTTAGGTGGAGATGTACAGCAGACTGCCGTCCACTATGGCTCTCTGGTCTGTGTTGGAACATAATTCCATATACTGCATCATAGATGTCTTCCATAAGTATCTGAAATGAAAGTAGTAAACATAAATAAAAACATCACGGAATGAGAGGGTGTGTCCAAACTTTAAGATGTTTATTTGATGTTTAAAGGTATTTCTCTGTTTGTTGTGTTTTTAGCATATAGAAGTGCAGTAATGGAGCCCATAAGCTCCTGCCCCACTCCACTAAACCTCACAGGGACGCATTGTTGGCAGCAGTGAATTATGGGTAATCAAAGGACATCGTAGACCTGGGTGACCACCCGTCCCTATTTACCCGGGACATTCCCAGTTTTGAGCCTGTGTCCCCTGTCCCAGCAGATTTATACAAAACCAGTGATTTGTTCCGGTTTTATACAAGAAATGTCCCAGGTGTCTCTATTTTTGATCAATCTGATCCCTGCCAACAATAAAGAGACATAAACTGCCATTTGTTTTGGTAAAATACAGAAAAGCTGCTTAAAAAAAACAAAACACAAAGAAGATGTGACTATTTTGACTCACGTATTAGTAGTATAAATGGACCAAGTGCAGAACAGTTTTCCTTAATTACACACTGATGTCACAATTTTATTATTACATGTCCCAGTTTTTGATTTTGAAAATCTGCTCACCCGATCGCAGACAATGGTTTATTTTAAAACTAATCAGATGAAACATGAGCCTAACCTGGCACGGGTGTGATTTTAAAGACATAAGATCACATAGATTTTGTCTTAATTCTGCAATATCTGGATATCTGTTTTACTTTTCACCTTCTTATATCATCAGAAAATGTGTTTGTGAAAAACAGACTCTATTCTAAAGCCCTTTACAGACAGTGTTTACTGATATTCACAGTTTAAATGAGGTGAAATGGATAAATAGAGAAAATATGATGTGCTCTGACTGATGTGCAGATGCTGTAGCCCTAAATGTCCTAAAAATGACATTCAAACAGAATTCTGAGTAGTTATTTTCACATTTTTTATTTAAAAACTGCTGATGGCTTCTAAGTGACTGGCTACAATCTATGTTATTTAATTTTTTATTTTTTATTTATGTTCTACATGTGAATATGCGCTAACAAGAAGCTCATTTTGATTCCAGTCTCATGTGGTCACCCAAACCCCAGGACCATGTAGAGTGGTTTAGTTTTAACATATTAAGACCAAATGGTGAGGCTCACACAGCACTTACAGAGAGAGGAGTACAGTTTTTTTCAATACAAAGTGAACTGGAGCTGGGGTCGATGGAGCTGGAAGTGTGCTCATGAACACTTCCTGTTTAGAGAGCAGCGGCGAGCAGGTTCACTCTGTTCTTTTATGTCTACAGTGATGGTTGGTGGACATCTGGACACAGGTAGAGAGACCAAAGACTGAGAGAGCTGAAGACTTGAGAGAGTACTGTTTCAGCAAAATAATACTCAAGTACAATGTAGTGGTTTGAGACAGTAACTCAATTATTTGGGGAATCTATTTAAAGCTACAGTATGTAACTTTCCAGAGGTGACACGTCGCCTACATGATTCTGTATAGAAAATAGAATGTTAAAACCATACTGCGGAACATTCTCCATGGAGACAGTTAAGTTTTATGCTATAATGTGGAATATTAAAGCCAAAGCAACATTTCCATGGAAGCAAAAGGAAGGGGCCAAGTTAGAGTCAGGTTTGTGGAGAGGCGAGCCTGCTCACAGTGAGGACACATCCAAACTGAAACAAACAGGCCTTTATGAAACAACTGTCCAGTTGTGAGTGTGTGTGTAGCGCCCCCCTCTGTCAGCCGCTGGCACTTTCTGTGACGCAGCATCAACAATGACTCATGAAATCATCTACTAAGCACACAGAGAGCAGGATGAATGTGAGAGAGAGAGAGAGAGGGAGGGAAGCATGGAAAGAAAGAGAATGAGATAATGCAAAAGAAAAGCGGTAGACATAGAGAGAGAAAGGAGAGAGAGAGTAAAAGAGGAAAGAGAGAGAGAGAGAAGTGCATAAAATGAAAGAACAGAAAAAGAGGAGAAAGAGAGGGCAGAGAGAGAGAGTCTAAATGGAGAGAGAGTGAGGGGGAGAAGGAGAGAGGGAGAAGGAGGGGAAATGTTGGAGTGAGAGAGAAACTATGGAGTGACTGATAGGAGAAGGAGAGAGAGAGAAAGAGAGAGAGGGGAGGAGGAGGAGGAGGAGAGGGAAAGGGGCGAGTGGGATAGAGGGGGAGATTAGAGATGAGGAGGAAGAGGATAGAGAGATGAAAGGGTGAGGGAAGAAGAGAGGAAAAGAGAATGAATGAAAGACACACTCACACGCGCACGCACACACACATTCATATTAAAGTTTGAGAGAGGAGAGAGAGAGATGGACATACACAGTGTGCAGGAGAAGAGGCAGAGGAAGGAGAAAGAGGGAATGGAAGAGGAGATGTAAAGAGAGAGAAGAGAGAGAGTGTGACAGAGACGTGTGTTAGGTCAGAATGTGTCTCATGTAACAGGACAGTGATGATTTGAGTGATTGATTTCATCATTATGTTGTTTCCACAGGAGTAACACACAAGACCTCTGACACACAGAGTGTGAACAGACCCACAACACCGGCTTTGTCCTGAACAACACTCAAAGTGTCATTTTCCTCCATGGTCCATGTTCCACCACAGCAGTGGACCATACACACTGTGTGTATAGTATATGTGCAGTGAACTCAGATCGGATGCTCTGATCACTGTAACTCAACAGTAAGTTCATGTGGTTGTTGAGTGTCGTTCATGTGACACATTTAAGACTCAGTATCAGATCCGCCTGGACTTTCAGGTCTCATACAGTTGGTTTGTTTTGGGAGGTTGTACTTAAGAAAAGCTCCCGTCCTCCTCTGAGCCCAGAACATGACAGAGGCGCACATGTGCACTTCCCCCCGCGGCCTCGGCGCGGCGCAGTCCCCCCGCGGTGCGTCAGGAGGAAGTGCATTCTGCGGTGCTACAGTGAATTGAAAGTACGCCATAAATATGGCGCCAAAAGAGTTTTCAAGCTGATGTTGGAGCTCGTCTGTAGCGTCCTCCGTGTTCTTCCCCAGAGGAGGCCGAGAGTCCGGTTTGCAGAGCCGAGCCCGGAGCGTGCAGAGCGGCGTGTGCAGAGCAGGGACACGGGAAGAGGACCAGAGCACCGGCGAGAAGAGCGGAGGACCGGAGAGAAGAGCGGAGCAGCGGAGCAGTGTTGGCTTTTTTGAGGAGGACGTTGCGAAACTCGCTCGCTTCTTTCTGACTCATCGTTTGGATAAAAGCATCCCTCTGTGCGCGCTTTGGAGCCGCGGTCCCGCTGCAGCTGCGGGAGAGCTCCGGGAGAGCTCCGGGGAGCTCCGGAGAGCGGCTCTTTTCTAAATGCGACACGCTTTCCTCCTCCGCGCGCTGGCGCACCGCGAGGACCGCGGCGTGAGCGCGTGTGTGGACTGCTCATAATCCTCCCGTGGATCCTAACTGTCCTCTGGATCATAATCCTCCCGTGGATCCTAACTGTCTTCTGGATCATTTCTGTGCCCGTGGATTTACTGTGGATCCGCCGTTTGGAGCGGAGCTGTCAGAGGAGCGCAGCGGGAGTGGGTCCTGTCACTGCCCGCGGGGGACACGCGAACTACGGCTCACCCCAAAACTACATGTCCCTGTCCGCCAATGAGCTCCTAACCTCCGGAGCACGTCTCTGCGCTCGAGGCTGACCAACAACAAGGTAAACCTTCTGTACACCGGGGCTCAGAGCCCGCGGGGCGGTCATGTGCGGGCTCTGCTCCGGGGGAGGTGCAGCAGGACATGTGCGGGTTCTGCTCCGGGGTTCAGAGCCTGCGGGGCGGCCGTGTGCGGGCTCTGCTCCGGGGAAAGGCGAAGGTTCAACGGGGCATGTGCGGAGCTGTAGCGGGGACACGGAGGCAGTGAGGCGGGCAGCAGGAGCAGGGGGACGGGCTAAACTTGACCATGGCCGCACCACCACAGATGTGTCTGTGTTTACTGGGACTAAACCAGGAATCAACTTTGACAGAACAGGGACTAAAGCAGGACTAAAGCAGGACTAAAGCAGCAGGACTGTGGATGTGTAGTTTTTGTGAAGTTTGGCTCCAAGGGGGCGTGTGTGGAGCTGGAAACAGGCCAGGTCTGATTTTGTGCGTGAAATGTTGACAAATGTGCAGAGAAGAGAGAAGAGCGGAAAGGAGAGAGAGAGAGAGAGAGAGAGAGAGAGAGAGAGAGAGAGAGAGAGATGAAAGGGCAGGAGAGAACCCCCTGCCCAAAGGAGAGAGAGAAAGAGAGACACGGGGAGGAGCAAGTTCGAGAGAGAAGAGGAGAGAAAGAGTGGAGGGAAGAAGTAATAGAAGAGAGAGAGAGTAAGGATCAGATAGAATGAGAGGGAAGGAGAGAGGAAGTAAAGGAGATGGTGGGGGGAGCAAAAGAGAGAAGAGAAGGCAGGAGAGAGGGAGAGAGGGACGATGAGGGGGAGTGATAAAGAGAGGGAGAATAAGGCAGAGGGAGAGAGAGAGAGAGATGGGGTGGAGCAAGTTTGAGAGAGAAATCTAGAGAGGAGAGAGAGGAGAAGTGATGGAGAGAGGGAGGAAGACAGAAGTAGAGAGGGTGCATTGCAGATTCTGTCTTGTTTATGGAAGAAAATGTCACAAAAACTTCTAGTAGAAAAGTTAAAGGCCTTTTTTCGTATCTGTTCTAATGTTGTTTCCTTCTCCTTGGAGTTGTGTTTCATTTCATTCACATGTTTAACACAAACTCTGCACATTTAGGCTGAGTTCTTCTCTCAAGTGCACCACTGTGTTTTTCAAATCCACACATCCTCACTATAATCATTTGGATCATTTCAGCCCTGCAATTGCCAATCTCTACTGAACTAAATGCAAAAGGAGCTGTGAACTTAAAACCTACCACTTCATGACATCATGTGGTGGAACAGAACATTTTGAGCTTGAAGATGTAGACAGACTCATAATAAAAGGTTACTCAAACAAAACTCAACTCCAGGTGGATATCAGCAAGAAGGTCCTGCTGAACTGTACCCTTTATGAAACTAAGTTAGTTCATCTAGATACAAATAAAAAAAAATCATTATCTATTTTGTATTAATCACATACGCAAGTTGCAATATATCTCAAAAGTGATTCTGAATGATTTTTGAACAAATTCTGTAGCTTTTGAAGTTTCTTGTGTTGTGCTGCTTACAAACTATGTTCATGGTAGGTAAGGAAATCATTCATATTTATGATATAGGACATGAGGAACAAGAAAAAATGATTTCAAATATGATTTCATAGTAAACTTCTGCGAGTAAATGAGGATTATATTGGTATTACAGACTGAAAAAATGTGTGGCGCTTCAGGAAGATGTGATTTTACTTCAGGAAGTAAAAAACATAAACAAAGTCCAACATTTGGGGTTGATACAATCACATTTCATTTTATTATGAGATAGAATGCTGATTTTCTAACTCGATCCATCAGGGTGCATGACGTGGCCGACTAACCGGTAGAACAGTATTCCTCCAGGTCTGTTTTTGAAGAGGTAATAGTTTTATAACATGACTTAAAGTTCACATTTTGAATAAAATAGGACCTTTAACCTCATACCATCCACTCGCCCGCGGGCGGGCGATTTTCCAATAAAAAATGTTCACTCTGTATATTCACCTTCATTATTGTTTTCACTACTGGCATGCTATACATCGTTTGAAAGCGTAATTTCTCAATAAAACAACCATATCATTAATTTTATGCAGTACAACGAGCCCAAAACGCGATATCTTAAAAATTCACATCATAATCAAAGAATGAGATACGCGTTTCTTAACTTTGAGCCAGTTCTGTTGGTCCAAAACGCGTTCAATCCATGAAAGGTTGTACTCAATAAATCCGTAATAATCCACAGAAAAAGAATATCAAGTTGTTTTTTTCCATAAAATAATTCCATGTGGGTAAATAATCCAGAAAATCTTCGTCCGTATGAATGGATGAATGCGTGAATGAAAACATATGTTGCCTTTCCGAGCCTTCTCCTCGTCTGAGTTCCGTTTCTCTTGGCGCGCTTGGGTACGCTTGTTTTCCTCACACTTTTAGCTTCAAAATGAGACCCTCCCCGCTGTTGTCGGTGCAGTGGTTTAGCTGGGACAAGCCGCTGAAGAAGCAAACGCACCCACGTACTTCCTGGCTTTACGCACACGTCATCAGTTTGTTTACGGGAAATCACTTTCTGGAAGATCCAATGACTGAAGAGTCATTGGATCTTCCAGAAAGTGATTGACATATTGTTTTAGCCTATCACCAGAGCTTTCAAATGGTGGGTGGGACATGCAGACAGTCTTTGAAATGGGCGCTGTGTTTACAAGCGCAACAAAGAGAGACACAGAGAAGCAGAGCGGGAGGGGCCTTAGAGGGCACATCTGACACTTGGAGGACAATTTTGGCTTCTTTTAGTTTTTTTTCTTGAGAAAACATGCCTAAATCTCGGAAGAATTAGTATTATAATAATAATAATAATTATTATTATTATATTATTATTATTATTATTTTGGCACAAATTTGGCAATCTTGTGCCGAATTGTCATTTTTGTCAAATGGTGCCTCACACAAGCATGTGGGTTCTAAGGTTTTCTTTTAATAAGCTATGGCATTTGTGTATGTAGTGCTATTGTGCACACACCAAAATTAGGTGGATGGTAACAGCTGCAGAAATATTGGTCCCTTATTAAGTTAGTGGAGAAACATATAAGCCAAAAATTACTATACAGATTTTTCAATACATGAACTTTGAACACAGCTCACTTTTGGAGGTCAGTATCTATGCTGGGGACTTTTCTTCTTACTACAGGAGAACTTTGCGTTACTTTTCTGCGTTACTGTGTATAGAACAGTATGGAACTCTGTATTTTCTGTCATTTCAAATATTTTCAACTTTTCTTCACAAATTGCTGATTGGTGTAAAAACTATTTGTATTAACAGCAGGTGTTCTCCTAACCAGGCTGGCGCCCCCCAGTGCCTCCACTCAATTTCATTTCTCTCCGCCAACTAAGTCAGGAATCAAAATACACTAGACGGGTCGCAGTAGCCATATATTCAGTGTTGTCAGCGATTCCCGAGATCAAGGATTTAAAGCCGGAATAAAGAGAATGTTTGGTGAATTTCATCAAGGGGAAAGATGTTATTGTCCTTCTTCCTACAGGATTTGGGAAAAGCTTAATATACCAGTTAACTCCGTTAGTGGCACATTACATACATCACAACCAAACAGCAGCGACTGGTTAAATGATAAAAAGTACCCGTCTACCATCGAGAGAACGAAATCTAACACTGTGAGGTTAGATGGTTTCTACAAAGTAAAACGAAGTGAAACCGGCTGATGAATCAAACTAGTATTCTCCCACCAAAAGTCAAAATGTAACCGTACAACCCTGTAGTTGTGGAAATAGTCTGTGGCTCTTACTTCTCATACTCCTTCACACTGGGCACACTGGTTAAAAGGGATGGAACAAGATCTTGTGAGACAAAATCGCCCCAAGATCGTACACAAGAGAAATATGATCTCGTGACATTTTTTCTGATGTATTTACATGTGGATATGGATTTTGTTGCGGCCGATATGATACATATAAAATGGGAGTTGGAGGAACCGATAGAAATATATAAAAGCCAGTATATTTAGTGCTGTAAAATTCAACTGATTATAAAATTTAGGTTTGGCTTTACTGGATTTTAAATTGGGTTTGTTTAGGCGACATTTCCTGTTCTTCTGCCTCTTTTTTTTTGGCATGATATTCTAGCCAGTAAAGAAAGTAAGTAAACTACCGCTATCAGTCTTTAGCGGTAAATTCGTGTGTGTCGTGGTAATTAATTATATGTGTAAATGCCGATCATTCACACCTCTATTCACTCTGTTCATTATCTATCTAACATGCTCACGTGAAATATCAGCCCAGATCAGCAAGATTTAGGCCGATATATCTAAAAGTGTTTCCCGTATCTGCAGATAATACTGGCCAACAGATATATCGGTCGGGCCCTACCTCCAACCCATTCATTACTTGGGCCAATTAACGCAATCATTCATTTAATACTACGGATGTAACAATAACCGAAATATCGTGATATCATATCGTCAAAATTCTCACAATAATATCGTGGACCATCACAATATATCAGATTACAAGTCTCTTTACTTAAATTAAGAGTTATGGTGCAACAATAGACAAAGGGAACTACATAGACCATGATCCTTTGCTCCATTTCAGTGCAGACGACAAGAAGTTCTGATTTAGTGTCTTAGTTCTTTGGATTAAGTCTTGTCAAGGCATTTTAAGTAGTAAAATATCGTACTGTGAGCCATATGTTGTGAAACTATCATACCGAGAGATTTGGATATTGTTACATCTCTAATCGTGAGCCTCCCCACCATATCATGAGCTTTCCCACGATATCGCAATAAATATCGTATCGTGAGGTTCATACCATGACGATATTGTATCGTGAGACTTTGATACTGTTACACTCCTATTTAATACTAATTCCTCTAATAATTTCCTTCACAACATTTTATTTCATTTACCTTTGCTGTCACATTCAGGGATAAAGAAAACTACACTACTACTGTACTGCTATTTGACTATTGTTAGTACTACTACTACTACTACTACTACTGTTACTAGTCCAGTGAGGTTCTTTGGCTCATCCCACAGACTGTATAAAGA